AGGTAACAACTATTATGGTCAAACCAATTTCATTCAGGGTCAGGGTCAACAAGCGCAATCGCGTTTAATGTTTCCTACTCAATATCACTTGGAACAAACCGAGCGACGCAAGCAAACCTTCACCAACGATGGTTGTTCTCCGCCAACCCCAGCTGGCTCATATCCTAACATGGATCCAGGAATACTACAGCAACAACAGCAATACTTTGTAAAACAAGAGTCTGGCGGTTCTTACGACGTGCAACCCGAACTGGACTATTCTACGCTTTCTCCCGTTTCCGGCTCTCCCTATGGTTCACCGTCCGCCTATGACGCCGACATGTGTCGATCTTACAAACCTTCTAGCTTCCTTGAAAGCATGGGCGGCTCTCCGGGTCCTGAGGTCAATAACGATTTTGAATTCAGTCCAATGAGCGCTCCCACATCTATTCCGATGGATGTTAAACCCAATCGCGTTAGTCGACAAGTTCATAATAACTATGGTAACATTAGTGTGTCATTGCCGGCGCCGGCGCCTGCACCTCTCAACTGGTCCTATGGTGCAAGTGTTGAGCAACTTCAGCCAGGATCCTTTTCATTCTCTTCGACCGGTGAAATGCCTATGATGCCCGACTTCCTGCCTCCGGAGGAGGGAGATAATCAGAAACAGTATGTGCTTGCCTTCGTGTAACCGGGATGCTTAAACGACTGCTAAAATTTTATTTGCTCGTAAAATTTCGACCCAACTTTTATCTAATAGATTGTTGTTATCCGAGAAAAGACGCCGTCGTAGAGAATCCCACAATGCAGGTAAGCAGGCAATTATGTTGTCGAACATTATTGCAGAGTGCAGAGACTAATTATAAATTGTCGTCAAACTCAGTTGAACGCAGGCGACGGGATAATATAAACGATCGAATCACGGAACTTTCGAATCTCTTGCCGTCGGTTTATATCGATTCCTCGAATAAACCAAATAAAGGTACCATCCTCAGCAAATCCGTCGAATACATTCGCAGTCTCCAGCAGATGTTAAATGACAACCGTAGATTAGTAGAAGAACAACGCCTACGCAATTCGGAATTGGAGGCCAGAATAAGAGGCATGTCGACACCCATGGATAGTATTTCGGAAGGTTCTGCCAGTAGATCCGAGCTGAATGCATCATCGCTACCAACCAGTGGTCTCGATGGATCTTCTCAGGCACCGTTGGGTAGTAATAACATGACCTCATAATCTACTAGATCTTTAACCAGCAAGCAACAATAACTTTACCGAATCACTTTTTCTTTCTAGAAAATGATATGATATGAATTATATATCCTGTTTGTCTCGTTTTTTGTAATCAACTCCATCCATTTCTTTATGCATCACTACTGCTTTTTTTTATTCCCATCTAATTATCTTCTATTGCTGGTATTCTTATTTATTTATAAATTCCTATAAGGTTAATAATGTATCCAATGTTAGTGATGAACAAGGTTAAGATGCGCCTCGCATCTGACGCTGAGCAGTTGCAAATAGTTTCCAAGAAATGCTGAGAAACGGAAAATCTTTGAATGTGGTTAATAGTTGACTGAAGGCCTACCGAAGTTTAATTCAATATCCAAAGGAATTTTGGCGGTTTAGTTTGTTCACTTGATGTGAATCAAATTTGTATATATTCGTTGAATTCCCTTCATCAGTTGACAGTCACCTTGAAGAGAGTTACAATATTCATTCCTTCTTATCACACTTTTTTTTTTTTCTATTAATTGTAAACACTGCGTTTTCTTTGTATACTTGGGCAGAAACATTCTTACATATATTTTTCTTCTCTATACATATATACACATATATACTGTATATATATATATTGTGTATGCGCTTTTTGAACGGACACTTCTTGTATGTACTTTTTTTTTCGCTTTTTTTTTTTTCTGTTTATTATTTATTCACGAATGATATTTTAACATTTCGATGGATGCCAGGTCACATATTAACTTCGTGTGAGATTCTCGCTTTGTTGCGTGGGTTTTTTTTCGGTTAGAATCATCGCGTCACATGATTTAATCGTAAAATCCGTAAAAATTTTTTCTTCTCTTCGCAATAGGTAGAAATTGTAGAATATAAATATACTTTTTATCATTATTATTATCATTATTATTATTTTTATTTTATTATCGTTGTTGTTATACCTCTCATCCCTAAATATATTTTACATCTGCCTGCTTATTAAATCTCGGAAGAGTTTTTTTTTTTTTTTGGTTTTTTGGTTTTTTATCGCAAGTCGGGTTTTTAAATTTTGAAACCCATACGAAAATTAAATCACAAAATGATGTATAGATTATTCTCTATCGGCGGGTGTAATGGGATGCAAAAGTTAATCAATGTATAGAATTGCAGTCTACGCGTCTCATCACGTGTACGGTTCGCGAACAGTTGTAAAGTATTCCGAGTGGCTTGCGAAAGTACGATGCGGAATTAAAAAAAAAAAAAAATTTTCCACAAAATTTCCGACTCGACTTGATCGATTCTTGAGATCGGAGTATGAACACGAAATTCTATGAAACTCTGCGAAATACAAGATGCGTTAACCAGCCATGTATACTGTGTATTGTTGTAATTTCACCATACAACATGCCGAGGAGATGGTCGCAACACGTCACGCAGTAACGACGTGATCTACGACACGTGAAAACCAAATAATTCTGCAGAATACATAAGTCAGCTGGCCGGCCGGCATTACGATCGCCAACGAGTGTAACGTTATCGCGTCATTGGTTCTATAAAAAAGTAAAGTTCATCCGTAAATTCCAATTTTAAAATTAATCTTTCGTTGACGCATGAAGTTATGCACCAAGATCCACAAAAGGACGAATCGCACTTCTACCTTCATCCTAGTTGCTATAATGGTCTTATCTTACGAACGGCGAGGAAATACATTTGTGGGCGATAACAGGCAATATCACTTTCTTCATTTGCACGTTTGGTTACGTATTTGTCATTTACGTGCCTGTTTGTGCATTTGAAGTGGTGTTCCGTTAGGGAAGAATAATGGAACGAAAGCATCATATGACGGATCAGACGATGACTTTTAAATTGCACAAACATTTGTCCGGCACATTTACTATAATTGAGCTATTTGAGATCACATGAATTTGATTGATAACAATTGAGGATCCCAGCGATTTCGAATTCGATGTCGCCTAGTTTTTCATTTGACGTAAAATTCATGTGGTAGGTCATGATTCATCGTGTATTCCAAACTTCATGCGAGTCTATGCGATTCAGATTCTCAAAACCTTAACGACTAATATAAAAAAAAAAAAAAACAATTGTTTATATTATTATTATTTTTTTTTTTTTTTTTGTTTGTTTGATTTAATTTTTTTTACACAATTGCCTTGCAAGATACTTTTAAATGTGGTAACAAAGCATGCGTTGATTTTCTAACTGCTATTTTCGTTAACAAAGAGTCATTGAAATCATATGATTATTTACAGAAAGATACAGTATATCTTATCGATTCTTTTAATTATACAACTAATATTAATTCAATTTAAGATACAGTATGACGAAAATAATCCAAATTTTTTCAAGACTTGATTAATTAAAATAATTTGAATCTAAAAGTTTCTAAGTATCAACTTACTTATGGTAATTTTTTTTTTTTAAATACAGTATTAACCTACTTATAGTCATTTTATTTTAATTATTAATTTAGGATAAAAATTTTTTAAATATTAATTTATTAATTTATCTATAATAAAAAAAATTTTTTTGTTTAATTTACAATTATTCTGACTCATTCTCGTTGAATAACTAATAATGATGATGAAATACAATCAATATTGTAATAACATTTTCATAAAGTATGATGATTGATTTGTCTTTATACAGTATATTATTAATTAAAGAAAAATTTTTATTGAATTAGTTCAAATAAAAAAAAAATCCAGTTTAAATATTTTAAGATTAATTTAAAAATCAACATTCTACTTTTTTTTTATTATTGTGCTATAATCTTTGAATTAAAAAATTATTATCAACAGTTTATTACTATTGATTGTTATTACTTTTTTTTTTAACTCATTAATTATATTATCATAATATATTTTTATTAAAATATTGAATAAATAATTATAATTTTATATTAATTATTATACAGTATATTAATTAACTTGTTTTATAACAACTCTTTCCGCTAATCCCCTTTTTCCTTAAAAATTTTCTTTTTTGATAATTTTCTTGGAAAAGAGAAGTCAGCCTAAAAAATAACCTAGAACATTCAACCATTCCCCCAAGAGATCACTCTATCGATTAACAGAAGTTTTGACAGTACAGCATTACAATAGCTTTA